ATTAAGGTCAAGGAAGGTATCCTATATAGGCTTAGACATCTTCATGACAGAATTTGTTACCAGCTTGATGTTCCCACATCATTAAAGAACTCTACATTGGAGGCATCCCATGTACCACTTCTTGCTAAACTACAAGGCAGCAGTCAAAACACCACTATCGTATCTACTTTAGACCCATCATATGCAAATACGTGCGCGTGTGCATTCATACACACACATAATGCGTGTGTGCATTCATACACACACATCATGCGTGTGTGCATTCATACACACACATCATGCGTGTGTGCATGTATGCCCATTCACACACACGTGTGTATATATATATTTATATGCATGCATGTTTGTGTGTATGTGTGTATATATATACATATATACACACACACACACACACACATATATATATATATATATATATATATATATATATATATATATATATATATATATATATATATATATATATATATATATATATATATATATATATATATATATATATATATATATATATATATATATATATATACATATATATAATATATATATATATATATATATATATATATATATATATATACATATATATATATATATATATATATATATATATATATATATATATATATATATAATATATACATATACATATATGATATATACATATATATATATAATATATACACATATATATATATAACATATACATTTATATAAATAATATATACATATATATATATATAATATATACATATATATATATAATACATACATATATATATATAATATATACATATATATATAATATATACATATATATATATATATATATATATATATATATATATATATATATATATAATATATACATATATATATAATATATACATATATATATAATATATACATATATATATAATATATACATATATATATATAATACGTATATATAACACTGGGTTACAAAAAATATTTTTTGTAAGTTGTCTTGTTTTTTTCAACTGATTTAGACCAAATCTGCACCGCTGAATCCAAAAATGCCATCCGTTTTCCCCGATCAGGTCAAGTTATTCAACTAAGTGAATATAGGAAAAATCGTTTTTTTTTTACCTAATTGGAATACATTAGAGCGGCATTTTTTGTTTTAGTTGTGTTACTTTGACATCCGATTTTTTTTTAAGGATTGATCAGTATCTGTATTGACATCAACATTGCATTACTTTGGTAACTATTACAATATCTACTGATCAATGCTGAACATCGATCAGAATTGATCAGTTGATCAGTAGACAGGACCAGGATAAAGACAGATGCATGAAAACTAGATGCTTGGTGATCATTGATCATTCAGGGCTGAAACTATTTGAGGTCCGTCAAAGATGCCAGCTTTCAATTTCTCCATGGTCACTCTTGGAAAAGCATGGCACAGGTGAGTGAAGCTGCCACCATCCTTGTCCAGAGCTTTGGTGAACTACTTCATCAAGCCAAGCTTAATGTGCAGGGGTGGGAAGAGTATCCTGTCTCTGCCCACCAGAGGTGTGTTGATGACGTTCTTTGATCTGCTAGGCTCCAATTCCTCCCGCAGAGACCACTCGTTTTTCGTGTAATGCTGAGCTCGGTCCCTACTTTCCCACATGAACAGAAAGCACGAGTACTTGGTGAAACCGGACTGCTGTCCCAACAAAAAATTCACTTCACCGCTTCATAC